ACCCAGCCCACAGCCTGGCCCCCGCAGCAGGGGGTGGCCCGGTGGCTGTGATGTCTGTCCTGTGGGTGTCTGTGGGTGCAGGACAGGAACGCCCATGGGTGCCTGCAGGCGCGGGAAGGGTGTGCCCGCTGGGGGCCTGGGTGCCAGCGGGCTCCCATGTGTCCCCGCAGATGTCGACGACTGCGCCCACTCCCCATGCTGCCAGCAGGTCTGCACCAACAGCCCAGGCGGCTACGAGTGCAGCTGCTACGCCGGCTACCGGCTCAGCCCCGACGGCTGCGGGTGCGAGGGTGAGCGGGGCGGGCCCTGGAGTAAGAGCGTGGGGTGGGCCTGCGCTCTGCTTCAGGGCTGCAGGGGGCAGCCTGCGGGGTCCCGGCCGGTGGTCACTGGTCCCTCACACGAGGCAGGGCCAGCCCCCTGCCCCGGGCAGGGCTTCCACAGTCATTCCGAGCCTGGGGAGGGGTGGGCGAGGCATAACCTCTGGCCTCAGGCCAGCGGGCAGGGTGGGGCAGTGGGTGCCTCCTGAGACCCAGCCCCCGGAGGACAGGCCCCGGCAGCCTGGTTTGCCCGCAGATGTGGACGAGTGCTCGTCTGGCCGCGGTGGCTGTGAGCACCACTGCACCAACCTGGCCGGCTCCTTCCAGTGCTCGTGCGAGGCCGGCTTCCGGCTGGACGACGACCGTAGGGGCTGCACCCGTGAGTCCGAGCCTGTCACACGGACACCCCCCTTCCCGGAGCACCGTGCACCCTGGAGGGCAGGCCAGGGGCAGCGGCGGGAGGGGGCTGCTCAGAAAGGCGTCCACCGGGCGGGAGGCACTTAGGGCTCGGGTGGACCCGCCTCTGCTCTGCCAAGGAGACAGAAGGGACATGGTCCCCTGGACTGAGGGCAGCGTCCAGAGGGGCAGAGAGCTGCTCCCGCCCCACCCCTGCCTCCATGCTCAGGGTCCCTACATCCAGGGGGGAGCCGGGCCAGAGCTGGGGTCAGGTCCTCAGGGCCCAGAGCCTTGTCTGTCCTGAGAAGTAGGGTTAGGAGAGCAGCTGGGACCCGCAGTCCCCAGGACCAAGGTGAAGAGGGGTGTGGGGGCTGTGGGTAGGGGCCCTGGGGCGGGGCTCAGGCCCTGAGCTAGCTCTGGGCACCGAGGGGCAGGGAAGTAGTTCCAAGGACAGGCGGGCACAGGGGCTCATTGTGTCCCCTGCAGCCCTGGAGCTGCCCGTGGTGGACCTGGATGGCCGGCTGCCCTTCGCGAGGCCCCTGCCCCACGTCTCGTTGCTGGAGGACACGCTGCCCCACCTCTTCCAAGACGACTCCGTGGGGGCCGAGGAGGCGGAGGCCCGGGGCGAGCACACACTAGAGGAAAAGTTTGGTGAGTAGTGGGCCCTGCCCTGCCCTGGGCTTCTGATCACTGGGAGGCAGCCAGTGCCCCTCAGCCACCCTGCGGTCCTGGGTGTGAGGAAGGCCCCTGCGATGGCCTCATTTGACCACTGCCGAGGGGTCCAGCCACCTGCTCAGCTTGCTCAGTGAGTCTGGGGCTGAGCCTGGGCTAGATGGGCCCTGCACTCCCGGGTCAGGGCCCTCCCAGGCCCCTGCATCTGCTCGCATATCCCACCTTGCCCATGGGGGGCTATCATGGGCATGGACATCCCTGTGCCCTCTTCTCTGGCCCCTGTGCACTGGAGCTGGGCAGGATCTGAGGCCCCTCTGCCCTCTGCCCTCTGCCCCCAGTCTGCCTGGACGACGCCTTCGGCCCGGACTGCAGCCTGACCTGTGAGGACTGCAGGAATGGAGGGACCTGCCTCCCGGGCCTGCCTGGCTGCGACTGTCCTGCGGGCTGGACTGGGCTCATCTGCAATGAGAGTGAGGCTGCTGTCCGGGGCGAGGGGGCGGGGTGGTGGCAGCGGGCCTGTGAGCCCAGGACCTGCGGGCAGCCCATTCCGTTTGCTCTGTCCTGCTAGCCCTGGGTAGAGGTCCACGTCGGTCCACCCACTTCCATTCACTCACTCACTCATTCATTCAGTGTCTGCTGACCGCCCGCTCTGTGCCAGGGGTTTGCCCCTGGCAGACGTCGCAGTGGACAGGGGGTCCAGGATGCTGGAGGCTGTCTGCTGAAGGGGAGCTGGGGTGGGGCAGGCCTGCGGAATCCCGGTGGGAGCAGCAGCTTCCCCAGGCCACGCAGCCCGTTGGTGGCTGGAGCTCTTCCTCCTCTGTCCAGAGCCTGTGCCACTCCCCTCCCAACAACCCCAGACCAGGGACAGCCTGGAGGTTCGGTCTTGGGGCCTCAGTGACTTCCCGAGGGTCTGCCTGCTGAGAGTGCTGGCGGGGCAGGTGGATGTGTTGGTGTTCCAAGGGACGGCACGTGGCCGTCGATCAGTGGCCTCTGCTCTGCGTGGGGCGTCACGGGCACGAGCATCACACTTGTTGCTCTGGGCCGTTGCTTCTGAACCGGGTGGCTCAAGCCCCAGGAGGGTCTCTCAGTGTCTCTGGAGGGGCTGCTGGGCCAAGTCCTTTTGGGGCCTGTGACCCTGGCTTCCCTGCCCCCTGCAGCGTGTCCTCCAGACACCTTTGGGAAGAATTGCAGCTCCCCCTGCAGCTGTCAGAATGGCGGGACCTGCGACCCCGTGGCTGGGGCCTGCCGCTGCCCCCCGGGTGTCAGTGGAGCCCACTGTGAGGACGGTGGGTGCAGCCCCTCTGCGTCTGGGATTGTCCCTGGGTGCATAGGAGGGGAAGGCACCACCTCTCAGCTCTTTGAGGTCTAGAGGTTGGGCTGGGCGACCACTGAGGGAGAGAAGTCAGGTCACTGTAGATGTGGGTCGGACACGGGGGACCGGGATGTGGCCTTAGTCCACGTGCATGCTGAGCCACGTGTCTGGTCTCCCACTCTGGCCACTGTCAAGGCCACAGATCCTGGAGCCGGGGGGAAAGGCCAGCCAGGGCAGACAGCCACACCCTTGGGGTTCGTCTTGCGCCTGCCTTGCCCTCCTGGTGCCCTCACTCATTCTCCACGTCCCTCGCTGTCTGGGATGCAGGGTCATTGGGCTGCTGGTGGCCCCAAAGCCCTCCGGCTGTGCCCCAGTGGCCCAGGCCACTCCTGGCTCTTGTGCTGGGGGCCCGGGGCCCTTGGAGCATCTCCTCGGCCACCGTGGGGCCCATTTCAAGTGGGCGCTCACAGGCCCGCCTCCCGCAGGCTGCCCCAAGGGTTTCTACGGCAAGCATTGCCGCAAGAAGTGCCACTGCGCCAACCGGGGCCGCTGCCACCGCCTCTATGGGGCCTGCCTCTGCGACCCAGGGCTCTACGGCCGCTTTTGCCACCTGGGTGAGTCCCCCTGCCCCCAGTCCCTGTGTCCGAGGG